ATCCTATACAAAAGGCGTAATAATGAACAAATTATTATAAATGATATTAATGAATCGGAAATGTATAATATTTCTCGAAATAAAACTAAAAGTCAGAGTGGTGCGTTAATTTTGCGGTTAAGTGTTACAATATTTTCTATTTATATACTTTGTATATGTAAGTGAAATAATCTGAATCGGAATAAAATAATTATTGATTAGGGTAAACCATACAATTATTCGACAGTTAAGGGATTTTTTCTTAAATGATTCTTTCTTAAAAAATAGGGATGTAAGGGAAACGCAAATTTGCGTTTCTTACATAATTTCTCCGCATATTTTACATGAATGTAGTTACTTATCTGATTTCGTAGATAATACACGAATTACATTTTTAATTATTTATTGCAAAAAAGTACAAATAGTCATTGGGCGGTAATGTTACAGTTATTGGACATACAGTGTGTCCGTAAAGTAACGGATACAGGCGATAAAATCATAATAAACGGTTTATGGAGAAATCTTTCCGCCATTTTTAAACGAGTTATGGCGTCATCGATATTTTTTTATAATGACAATCCCCCATTTTTATTACGGAATATGAAACAGGATTTTTTTCTGAATCTAGTACAGTCAATATTAATATTAGTTACATAAGAAAAATTTCGAGAAAAGTTACTTTAAAGTTTAATTACTTCAAATTTGTATAATGATAAAAATAGCAGTAGCCATGAGTAACTATGGCAACCATTTATTCTAAACAATTCCCTGAGTGTCAAAAACTGATTTAGTAAGCTTCTTGAAGTTTTGGCGCGCCATCTTGTTGGAATAACTGCCGTTGGAATTGAGTTGTGTCAATATTATCGGGATGGAAGGAATGACATCGCTTTAAAAAAATTTAAACATCTCTTTCCACTTAAGGTTTCCTCAAATCTTTTGCGGATATTGGGTGTGCGACTTTTTTGGCTAATTTGGATTTTGGGTAGCGCAATACCAACAACTTTGTCTATTTACTTGTCCACTCAATGTAAATGTCCCTTCGTCGAAAAAATAGCAAAACAGTTTATAATGATTTATAATGCCTATATCCGTTACTTTACGGACACACTGTATGTTAATTATAATACATTACTGTTGAAACGTGATTATACACACAATACGCTTATTTAGGATAAATTTTTTCATCTNCTAGTACAGTCAATATTAATATTAGTTACATAAGAAAAATTTCGAGAAAAGTTACTTTAAAGTTTAATTACTTCAAATTTGTATAATGATAAAAATAGCAGTAGCCATGAGTAACTATGGCAACCATTTATTCTAAACAATTCCCTGAGTGTCAAAAACTGATTTAGTAAGCTTCTTGAAGTTTTGGCGCGCCATCTTGTTGGAATAACTGCCGTTGGAATTGAGTTGTGTCAATATTATCGGGATGGAAGGAATGACATCGCTTTAAAAAAATTTAAACATCTCTTTCCACTTAAGGTTTCCTCAAATCTTTTGCGGATATTGGGTGTGCGACTTTTTTGGCTAATTTGGATTTTGGGTAGCGCAATACCAACAACTTTGTCTATTTACTTGTCCACTCAATGTAAATGTCCCTTCGTCGAAAAAATAGCCAAGTAGTTTATAATGATTTATAATGCCTATATCCGTTACTTTACGGACACACTGTATGTTAATTATAATACATTACTGTTGAAACGTGATTATACACACAATACGCTTATTTAGGATAAATTTTTTCATCTGCATCCAATCCTTCAAGTTATATTTTGTCGCCTTGCTGTTGTTTCTTGTCTTACTGATTTTGCAAGAATCATTATTAATGTTCTTAACCTGGCCAGTTTCAAGTTGTTAAAATTTGTCTGTATTTAATAAGTTTTCATCATAGGAGTTCTTATAAAGTTCACTGTCTGGGCTCATCGCCTCTTCGCCGTAACAATTATGGCATAGATAAGCATAGTCGTCATCAGGAATATGAATTCGATGAGATTTTGGAACGTATTTCTTATGGAAACTATGTTTAGGTTCCTAACACTTCAAGTTGATCTTATTTTGACACGTTTTTCCGTAAACAAAACGTTTGAGTTTAGTATCTTTTTATGTCTTCTTTTCTCCTCTTTTTATCGTTCTGTTTCTATCTGTAATGTAATATTCTTTTTTGATGAAGTCTGTTTAATATTGTATACATTTTTTTTGCTCCTTTTTCCGCATAGACCTTCCCTATGGACGGACATATACAGGGTCATCCACGACGACCATTCATTAGAACTTTACAGGATTCTAGCTAAAACAAAAATTTGAAAATTCAGATTTAAGTATTATTAATTGCGTTCTCTTCGACTAAAATATTTTCAGATTTCTAGCAATTCCGGTTATACCGGAAGTCGACACCTACTTTATTTTTTTAAATGGAACACCCTATATATTTTTACATATTTGGATTTGTCTATTTTGAAGGTTTATAAATAACTTTACTTTTTGCAATTTGAACCAGCAATTCTCGAGTTATTCGAATTTTTCTAGAAAAATTTGCTCCAGCGGACATTTGTTCAAAAAATCATAGAACACTCAATTTTTGAGATATCAATTTAGGATTCAGAACATGCTTAAACAACATGATGGAGTATGTTTTGGTGCCGAGAACGGCTGTCTAGATCGTTTGGTCACTTTACTATGATACGTTAACTTTTCGAAATTTGGAAGCACCATAACTTCATTTTTTTAAATGGCACCCCCCATATTTTATTACTTAGTCGTCTTCGGCGTCTCATTTTACATCTTTTATATTCCATATGTCCTATGCCTAACATTAATAGTTTGAGAAATAATTAGGGTTTTTTGAAAAATGCTCACATATCATATGGATATTAACCTAGTGTGCCATGGAAAACAAATGTTTAATGACTTATTGATAAACGTCAAAGTCTAATTTAGGTTGTTTGATGCTTGTGAGTCTAAAACCAGTTAAAATGGATATTAATAACGTAAATAATGTTTATACAAATGAAGAAATCCATAATTTATTTTTTGTGCACGAAAAGTGCGACAAAGTTCTTAGTAGAACTTGCAGAATGTTTAATGAAAATTATCCACATTTATCTCCGATGACAAAAGGTAAATTTAGAGGAATAGAAGCAAATTTTTTGCATTTTGGACGAATTAATCACGTGTTAAACTGACCAAAAAATGTAGTAGATAATGCAACGGAAGAGGTGAATACCTTGGCTTATTTCGAGCCCAGTCCCAACACCTCAATTCGAGCTGCCAAAGAAGATCTGGGAATCATACTACGAACTTTGTCGCGCTTTTCATGCAAAAAAAATAAATTAAGAATTTCTTGATTTGTGTAAATATTACTTTCGTTATTGTTATCGATTTTAACTCGTTTCAGTACTAATATTAAGGGACATAACAGATAATTATTAGCTCACATGCATCAAGTGACGTAAACAAGTGAGTCTTTGACAAGAACTCATTGAGAAGGCTTGTTTTTCATGGCACACTAGGCTAAATATCCATATGATATGTGTGCATTTTTCAAAAAACCCTAATTATCTCCCAAACTATTAATGTTAGGTATGGGACATATGGGATATAAAAGATGTAGAATGAGACGCCGAAGACGACTAAGTAATAAAATATGGGGGGTGCCATTTAAAAAAATGAAGTTATGGTACTTCCAAATTTTGAAAAGTTAACGTGCCATAGTAAAGTGACCAAACGTTCTAGACAGCCGTTCTCGGCACCAAAACATACTCCATCATGTTGCTTAAGCATGTTCTGAATCCTAAATTGATATCCCAAAAATCGAGTGTTCTCTGATTTTTTGAACAAATGTCTGCTGGAGCAGATTTTTCTAGAAAAATTCGAATAACTCGAGAACGGCCGAATCAAATTGCAAAAAGTAAAGTTATTCATAAACCTTGAAAACAGACAAATCCAAATATGTAAAAATATATAGGGTGTTCCATTTAAAAAAATAAAGTAGGTGGCGACTTCCGGTATAACCGGAAGTGCTAGAAATCTGAAAATATTTTAGTCGAAGAGAACGCAGTTGATAATACTTAAATCTGAATTTTCAAATTTTAATTTTGGCCAGAACCCTGTAAAGTTCTAATGGACGGTCGTCGTGGATGACCCTGTATTAAAACTTGTTTCATCGCTATTAAAAATATTCTATTAGGATCTTTTAATACAGTTTCTAAATTTTTCTTTTTTATGCATCCCTCTATCTCTTCAAGCCATTTTCTTATGTCGTTTTCTGACACGCAACTGCTTGCGGCCATTACTCTTTTTGAGGTCTTAAATGTAATATCGGGATGACATAATATCAAATAATAAATGTTTGTTATTTGCAAAGGGATTTTTCCTTGGATTTTCTTTCAGAAAGTTCTGAATGCTCATTAATATAATATATTTTCTTTATTCCTAAGAAAACATCTATTAGCCATCCTTTATCCAACATACTAAACAAGTTTCCTCGTTTGCAGTTAAAACGGTACACGGCCCAAAACTCTTTTTATGTCCTGGATGTTTGATTTTAAAATCAAGTGTTGATTTGGACACATTATATTTGTTGGTAATATCTCTTAGAGAAGATTTACCTTTCTGCATTTCTTGAATCACCAACAACATGTGTCTGGGATCACATGATCGCATTTTGACCAGTTTTTGTAACCTTTAAGGAATAATAAGACACATAAGCTTTTATAAATAATAATTACGTTGCACCATTCTACAAACCATAAACTACATTTTGGAGTTGGGTAATAATCATAACTTACCTTAATGTTTCACAATTAAACTCACAAAAAAAACACAAACCTAATCAAAATTTTTAGCAAAAAGCACCGACCATGTTCAGGTTAACTTAACACCTCAACTTTAAATCAGATTTCAGACTATGATACATAAACCCGCGCAAAGTTCTGTTTTTTAAAAATAAATCTGTGCTGTCCAATAATTATATGATTTACCCTACATGATATTAAGAATAAAAGAAAATAATAATTTACATAATAACTTCCTGCATCGTTTATATGGCTATAAGTTGGATCTTTTAATTCATTACATTTTTCCCAAGTGGCCATAATTAGGGCACAAAGCCATAAAACACCGACGATGAAAAATTTTGGGAAATAAAACGACAAAATTCTTCGTTCGTTTTGTCGTAACCCATGATAAACGCACAACCAAAATAGTAAAAGTGCAGATAGAAATGTTGCTTGTGATAAGGCATCGATCATTCCGGGTATCCAAGAATTAATCAAAAATGTCATTGGGAATAGCGGATCTAAAAGTTTTATCCAAATTTTAGGTTCCTTTTAAATAAATTCAATTCTTTTAACTTACTGTTATAAAATAGTAACAAAAATAATAAAATCGACATCCATTTTTGCTCGATAGACCAATCGAAAATAGCATAATTTTTTAATTTATAAATAAACCATGTCTAAAATCACAAAAAGAGTCATATCGATGTATCTTGTTTTAAATTTCACTTACGGTTATAATAAACGTTGAAATTAAAAAGATAAATCGAAACCATATTTCGATTTGTGTAAAAGCTGGATTATAAGTTACAAACTAAAAATTAATTAAAATCAGTTTTAAATTCTTTGGTGTTTATAGTAACCAAAAAAATCTTACGTAAAACTTTAACTCCTTAATAGTATATCTATGATGAAACCATTCCAACCCAAAAAACCTCACCGTTATAATATAATGTGTATAATCCAAAAACCCCAAATGTAACACAATAAATTCATCGCAATACCGTTTATTACAACGTAAATGTCTCGTCCTATTCCTAGAATTATTCAAAATCGGAATTGGTTTATGATCCTGTGTTAAACCTTCAATTGTAACGCTTATTTGAAAACTTTTATCAAAAATTTCATCTAAAAAAATTACCAATTAAAAAGTATTAATTGACATTTAAACTTAATCACCATCAGTATTATCTGTAGCTAACTTCGCTATTAACCACATTTGTTGATTATAACTTGTCATAGCTGGTGATCTCATTGTAAAAGGACCTGTGGCCATCTCGGAAGGTGAAATAGTCTTATTTGTTGTATCACATGATGATTTAGCATCGCATTCGGTCGTTTTAGTGATAGGTGGACCTTAAATTTTATTAGAGTTAAATTTTAAAGTAACTTTAAATTTGTAGCCAACTTACCGGCTAATCCAATAAAAATTCCCAACCCTAAACATCCAAAAAATGCTATAAAAACCATGACAAATTCGCGTTTATGCATCGAATATAAACGCATTTGAACACTTCTAAAAAGGAAAACTTAATTATAAACATAAAAATGAATTTTTTTTTGTTTACCTTTCACACCTATCATGGTGGTAAGCCGGAGCTATATATTTATTAAATTCACTGAAAAGGTCACTAAATTGTGACAAAGAGTTTCTAATTTTTAGTCCTAAGCCCGCTGTGGGTAAATGATAAGAATATCCAAGTCCCATTCCGTCGATTTTTGACATTTTTTACCAAATTATAACACTTGGTTTAATTAACAATCACGATTTGATACAAATTCTTTCATATTTATAACAATTGTTGTGGAAAATTTGATACTTTACATCGGAAAATTAGTTCTTTTAACACAATTGTTGTTTTCTCGAATATAGCGACATCTAGGGAATGATTCAATTTATTGATCTGCGCATATTTATATCAAATTGATGCGCGATTTTTTTTGAATGTCCCGCCAAAAGTATTTCTTTAATGTTCAAATTTGGACCTCAGAGCCAAACAGTATTAAGTGACATTTTTTAAATTTTACAAGAGAGCAATTTGAAGATTTTAAATGATGTTTTTCAAACCCATTATTCTTGTAATAGGAGAGCTTGGGTTATTATTTTCCCAGTTATAATTTTGGAAGATAACTAAAGCTGATAATAACAAAGCTCCTAGATTAATTTTTTTAAATAATTTTAAAATAATTGAGATACTTAATATTATTTGGTTCTAGCAATGGACTTAATATCTTTTGACTTAATACTCTATTTGGTGACTTAACACTGTTTAGCTCCTACTAATTTATAGATACGTGAGACTTGATACTTAATTATTGTTAAAAACTTATGATAGAACAATGCAAATTTGTATAATTGCAATTTTGTAATACAAAAATTAATTCATATCATTTATAACTATACTCAATTTTTTAATTCGGAGGAGTAAAATGAAAAGTTTTTATTGAACTAGAACTACCACTAGACCTAGAACTTCTAGTTTTACACTATCACTAGAACTAACACAAGACTTAGAACTAGAATCATTCGAGTTTAGCCGTCTTGAGAGACGTGCGGCTAAACAGGAATGTTTCTAGTTCTCGATCTAGTGTTAGTTCTAGTGGTAGTGGAAGCTAGTTAGCATAAGATATTACTATGTCGTATATTTTCATTGAACTAAAACTAGAACTAACACTAGCAGTAGATAGACCTAGAACTAGAAAGTTTCGGGTTTAGCCGTGCGTCTTCAGAAATACGAAAGAAAAAACACAAAAAACTTAACAAATTAGGAGAAAGGAAAAGAAAGGAAAAGGTTGAAAAACAGACAGAAATACATAGGTTTCATCCAAAACTGACACTACTTCCACAGTATTTGATAAAAAAAGAAGAAGAAATATTACAAAAAGGACTAAAATATGCCCCAAGAAACCAAATGGACCTACAAACGCTGTCAATGGAAATCCAAGCAGCAATAAAAGGACATGAAAGAGAAAATATAATCAACAAAGATATTCAACTAATCCTAATAAAGGAAGAAAAGAATCGAGAACAGTTGCGAAGAAAGAGAGACAAGAAGGCAGAAGAAGAACACAACATTATCAAGAATATAAAACAGAAAATTAAAGATGATGATCTAATATTAACTCCAGCAGACAAAAATGTAGGAATGGTTATAATGAAAAAATAACAATACATAAAAAAGACAAAAGAGTTCGTAAATGAAAATAATTTTGAGAACATAAATAAAAATTTGAAGAAGTTTTACACTAGCACTACCACTAGAACTAACACTAGACCTACAACTAGAATCATTCGGGTTTAGCCGTCTTAAGAGACGTACGGCTAAACACTAGGGCGCTCTCAAACTAGAAATCTGAATGTTTTTAGGCGGCTGGCAACATCTCGAATTTTCCTAGTGTAATTTTTGCTTAAAATTGACCAATAGCAACCCTTCTTTTTGGCGCTTCTATTTGAAAATACTCCTCTGAATTAAAAAATAGAGTACAATTAATAATGGGTAACAAAAGGCAACAAAACACTTAAAATTATGAAATATTATTTAATGAGTGAGATCACTTCAAAATGTTGTAAACGAAAACTATCAATCTTAAAATTCAAGTAACACAAAGAATTAAAATAAAAATCATTGCATTTTTCAGTCGTCTTCCTTGAGATTACCATGTGAAAGATTTTTAAAGTATTCATCGAATCCGTTAGGTACCCATGTTAGTCACTTTTGCAAATCATTATACTTTTTAGTTGAAATAGGTTTTAGTGAAATAGTTTACTTTCTTATTAGTTTCAGCAGCAATAAGTTAGCTTGGGAATAACTTCCTTAGAATTAACGGTACTTTTATCTTTTCGTGTTAGTCTTTTAGTGGCTCTATTGAAATCAACTTCAAAATTTTTTTGATTAAAATCTGTTTTAAAATATAATACTCCAGGTGTTTCTCATAAAATTTCATAAGAACCACTTTAGATATGAAAAAGGTTTGATTATTTATAGTTTTTTTATTATTGTAAAAGTAAGATTCGTATTCTTCAAGTCCATGGTTTGCATTTCCGCTACTAAATTACAAAGTAAATATCGCATATTTGTCTTAAATAAGTTTAACCTAATTATTAATTTGATTTCTACAGGGATGTTATTCCAGTTTTTCACACATGAATACAAGGGACCTTTTTCATATAAATTTAACCTATGTTTAGGGAGCATGAAGATATGATTATGTCTAGTAACATATTGGTTTGTCTTAACAGATTGTTGAAAATAGTTTTTATGTTTGAAAACAAATATTGAGCATTCGAGGATGTAAATCGCCTATAATAAATCGTTGTCTACACGATTTATTATACTTAAGATTACATAACACTCTTATCGCTTTTTTCTGAAGTTTAAAGACATTACTGAACTGTACAGATGCTCCCCACGTAATTATTAAATATCTTAAATGTGATTCGATGTTACTAGAATAGAAAATCTTGGCAATCTTTTGGTAGTTGTATTTTTAATCGCTCTAAGACCAAATGTAGATTTTAATAGCTTATAACAGAGTTGTTCCATGTGACACTTAAACTTCATAGAACTATCAAGATGAACACTCAAAATTTTAATCTCCTGTCGTAGCTCAATATCGTAGATTGTAGGAGATTTATTAACTAATTTATTGTCAAAGACCACTTTTATCTTCGTTCATTATTAGATTATTACTATCAAACCACTTTTTTAGAGCGTTCAACGTATTACTATCCATCATTTCGTTTAAAGTTGAACCGGTGACTGATACGGTAGTATCGTCTGCATAACTTGTTAAATTACAATTCATGTCGTGTAATAGCAGGTCATTTATAAAAATGACGAAAAGTAGAGGACCCAGTAGGTACCCTGTGGTACTCCATACCTTGTATACTTCGTAGTTGATATTACTGGAGCACCTTCATAGCTTATAACTTTCGTCGTATGTGATCTATTATTTAAATACGAAGTAATTATGTGTTTTGCAGGACCCCTAAACCCGTAATGCTCAAGTTTGGCCACCAACTGTCTATGTTGGTGGCCAAATTGTCTATGTACACAATCAAAAGCCTTAGACAGGTCCAAGCTTATAGTACAAACGTGTTCATTTTTTTCGTAGGCATCTAGAATACTCGTAAAAAGTTCAAAAAGAGCAGTATCAGTTCCACGACCATGTACGAACCCATTCTGTCCTTCACTGAGTAAAGAATTACTTTTTATATACCCCAAAAAGAGTATATTTTATATACAGAGGTTTGGGATATATTTAAGGAGTAAAGAAAATAAGTACGACACACACTCAACTTTTTACCATTTACGCAATAAAAAATACTTCAACAACGTTGTTCTTTTTCCAGCACGAGATCCCGTTCTAGCACGAACACGGTTAACTGGAACTTCTTCAATACAGCTAACTATAAATTGTCTTTTCTGGTCAACTTCGATGCTACTATTCCAAAATTTGTATTCATTTCCAATAATATTATCTTATTGGTGGTTGACTGATATTCTTCGCCAGCAGCTCTCCTTTGCTTTCTAATGTTTTTCTTCTAATTGACAGAATTTCTTTTTCTTTTCTTTCCTGTAGTTTCTCGAATTTCTACAGCCTTTTCCTGGGTGGATCCTTGGACAAAGTACAGCCTTCCATATGTTGCAAATTATTTGCGTCTACTTCATTTGCTTTATATTGCAGTCCACTGTCATTATTTTGAATAATAATATTTTCAAAAATATTAATTTTAGAAGTTTTCTTGAATTCGCTATTTTTATCTTCATTTACATTGTTTACAACAAAATGCTCTGAGGAGCTTTTTGATATCTGAGACTCGTCTGTATTATTTCTGAGAATTTCTTCTGTATTGACAAAAGGCACATTGTTTTTACTAACAGAGATGGTATTGACAACACCGTTATTCAAAAAAATTACATCCCCTGTAGCATAGCCACATCCGGTTGCAATAATTTTCACATTTTCATGAGGGATACCCTGCGTGCTATTAGTGGTCGGATATATTTCCATGACGATCTCGGCATCAGTTGTAATATTATCGTGCGTGTTATCTGCCACAGAAGCTAAAAGGAATCAATAACAAAACATGTTGTGTTAAACCCATGTGTCAAAAGTGAGGTTACTACTAGGAATATTAAAGCATCAAAGCATTATCAAATAATTCCTGCCAACTTNTTCTAGGTCTAGTATTAGTTCTAGTTTTACACTAGCACTATCACTAGAACCAACACAAGACCTAGAACTAGAATCATTCGGGTTTAGCCGTCTTGAGAGACGTGCGGCTAAACCCGAATGTTTCTAGTTCTCGGTCTAGTGTTAGTTCTAGTTTTACAGTGGTAGGTAGCGCTGGGTAGCATAAGATATTACTATGTCGTATATTTTTATTTAACTAAAACTAGAACTAACACTAGACCTAAAACTAGAAAGTTTCAAGTTTTCTAGAAATCTTAGTTCTAGTTTTATACGAGCACTACCACTAGAACTAACAAGACGTAAAACTAGAATCATTCGGGTTTAGCCATACAAAGAGACGTGCTGCTAAACACTAGCCCGCTCTCAAACTAGAAACCCGAATGTTTCTAGGCGGCTGGCAACATCTCGAATTTTCCTAGTGTAATTTTTCCTTAAAATTGACCAATAGCAACCCTTCTTTTTGGCGCTTCAATTGGAAAACAGTCCTCTGAATTAAAAAGTAGAGTACAATTAATAATGGGTAACAAAAGGCAACAAAACACTAAAAATATGAAATATTATTTAATGAGTGAGGGCACACCAAAATGTTGTAAACGAAAACTATCAATCTTATAGTTCAAGTAACAAACAAATAATTAAAATAAAAATCATTGCATTTTTCTGTCGTCCTCCTAGAGGTTATCATGTGGAGGATTTTTAAAGTATTCATGGAATCTTTTAGGTACCTATATTAGTAAGGTTTGCAAATCATTATACTTTTTAGTTGAAATAGGTTTTAGTGTCTCTCTTATTGGTTTCAGCACCAATAAGTTAGCATTTGAAATAACTTCTTTAGAATTAATAATACTTTTATCTTTGCGTGTTAGTCTTTTAGTGGCTTTATTGAAATCAACTTGTTCAAGAGATTAAAATTGTTAAATTTCGCGGTTTTCATTTCCGCTACTTCAATTTAATTACCACAAAGTCTAAAAAGCTGTTGCCAATCTCATGGAGTTATTAGAGAAAATTGGAGGGATGCTTTTTTTGTCTCTCCATTAGTGCATGAATTGTATTATCTCTATTGTATCTCTATTCTATGCATTTTATGGAAGACTTCAGCAAAAGAATTGAAATGAAAGACAGCACATAATCATCTGATAATTTCTATTTTGTGATAGACAGTTATCGCTTCAGATAACCATTTTTTCCACAGACTGTTTTACATTTAAATTAATGTATTTCAGAATACATGAAGCCATTTCATTTCCACCTCATCCGGCTATAGATTCATCCCAGGTGAAGCAATATCCTATTTTCTCCGTTGCATCATAAACTGTATAATTGAAAGTCCATAGTTTTAAAGAATAGAAACTCTGAGCATTCGTTAATAGAGGAGTGGGTAAGCATTTTTGTAAATCCACCGACAGTATTTTGGTGTTCGTCTCGGTTTTGTAAGCCTCTTTATCCTGTCACTTTAATTTATACAGATTTTCTGCATCAAGAAGATGTGTGTTGTAGTTATTTTGTAATACACGACGTTCTTCCAGGGACACAGATTCTTTGAGTTTGATAACATACTCATCACGTGTATCCTTCCCTGGTTCTTCTGTCTGGCACAAACACGGTTAACTGGAACTTCTTCAATACAGCTAGCTATAAATTGGCTTTTCTGGTCAAGTTTGATGCTGCTATTCCAAAATTGTGAGTGAATTAGAGCACAACTCTCAACTGGTATGTTCTGTTTGCACTGCTTTATGGATTCATCACGACAAGGTGCTTTCATTTCATTTTGTCCAATAAGCTTATTGGTGGTTGACAGATATTTTTCGCCAGCAGCTCTCCTTTGCTTTCCTTTAGTTTCTCGAATTTCTACAGCTTCTTCCTCTTTTTCTTCTTCCAGGTCATTTGTATCACTACATCTCTCAGGTAGATAAGGTGGGTCCTTGGACGGGGTACAGCCTTCCATATGTTGCAAATTTTTTGCGTCTACTTCATTTGCTTTATATTGAAGTCCACCGTCATTATTTTGAATAATAATATTTTCAAAAATATTAATTTTAGAAGTTTCCTTGAGTTCGCTACTTTTATCTTCATTTACATTATTTACTACAAAATGCTCTGGTGAGCTGATATCTGAGACTCGTCTGTATTATTTCTGAGCATTTCTTCTGTATTGACAAAAGACACATTGTTTTTATTAACAGAGATGGTATTGTACACACCGTTATTCAAAAATATTACATCTCTTGTAGCATAGCCACATCCGGTTGCAATAATTTTCACATTTTCATGAGGGATAACTTGCGTGCTAGTAGTGGTCGGATATATTTCCATGACGATCTCATCATCAGCTGTAATATTATCTTGCGTGTTATCTGACACAGAAGCTGCTAAAAGGAATCAATTACAAAACATGTTGTGTTAAACCCATGTGTCAAAAATGAGGTTACTACTAGGAATATTAAAGCATCAAAGCATCATCAAATATTTCCTGCCAACTTCGCGAACAAAATAATGTGACTGAATGTGTCTTAATATTATAACAACTGATGTACAGTGAAACAAAACAATATTAAATCCGCACTTAATATCTAAATATTGGATATCTTTTAGAGTCAAAGAGTATTAAAAATCATTAATAGTATTTGGTTCTGTTTAATGGAGGACTTAATATCAATAATCTGAACCTATCTAGCGAACGGGAAAAAACTTAACTTAATACACGTCTCCATTGGAAAGAGTGAAAAAAAATACTTAAAGAACAATCAAAAACACAAATATTGAAAAAAAAATGGACTTAATACTGCAACCAACTGTTTCACATATCAAAAATTAATTATTGTCTATGATTATTGTCGTAATAAAATATCTAAAACAACAGGTTGCTATGGTTACGCATGGCTACTGTTATTTTTTTATCTCAATTGAATGGAAAATCATGAAACTTTAAGGCAATTTTTCTCGGAAATTTTCTTATGTAACTAATATTAATTTTAGTTGTTAAAAAAAAATTTTAAATCTATAGCAAAAAAATTTAAATCCTTAGACCCATCTCAGCGATTTTTGTACCCGTATAAACCGTTTTTAAATGTTTTAACGAATTTATCCGTTACTTTTGGGAAGCACTGTATAATGAATTGATTAGTTGAGAGACACGTGCCAATAGATGGCGCTAAAAACGTTGAGCCAGCAGTTTTTTAACAATTACCTTTGTTTATAGATTAATTTATTATAGATTATTAGTAGAATCTATATACAAGGGAATTACCTATCTATAGTACCATTGTCTTTAAATAATTAATATTTAAAGACAATGATAGTACTTAGTAGTTATCTATAGTTTTGTTTTGGTCGGTATAGAAGTATGGTCGGTTACCGACATTATTAAAAATATTCTTTTCCGCGTCTACATTTATTTTGTACAATAGACCTATTCATTAGAAGCCATTTCATTCTAACACACGTCAACTTATGGGCATAATATCTGTACAATATGAGGATTATTTTATTTATAATTTCCTATAATAAATCAATTAAAATTCATTTATCTTAACTTTTTGACCCTAACATAACTCATCTCTTTCTATTTTTATAACCACAAATCTTTTTTCTCTTTCTCATCTTCATTGAATGATTAGTTCAAAAACTACCTCCAAATTTTAAAACATCCATGCACTATCATCAAATCTCAACGTAAATTGTTTAATTTTACCCAAATTAATGTAAACTTTGTAACGAAAACGAAGCAATAACTAAAACGTACTCCACCCTGTGATATTAAAATCGTAAAAACCTCGCCGACGATGAAACTCTACGTATTTTTCGTCTTATTAGGAATTCTAACCTTAAAGGTTATTGCTTTAGAAAAGCAAATAACAATAAATGTTGATCCTCGACGGCAAGATTGTTTTTACGAGACAATCAAAGAGCAAGAAACGGTGGAAGTCGATTATCAAGTAATAGATGGGGCTCATACAGATTTAGACATATCATTTCAGATATTAGACCCTACCGGAAGGGTCCTAATTGGTGATTTTAAAAAGACTGGAAACGCTCACACTTTCACCACACAAACTAAAGGCGATTACAGTTTTTGTTTCGATAATACTTTTAGTACGGTGAGTGTTAAGACTGTATTTTTTGAATTAATTATTGATAATGATGATGATGAGAATGATTATGCCAATGAACTTGAGTTAAATCCGGAAGAAGTTTATGAGTTAAAAGTACAGGATATTTTGGAGATAATCGCGAAAGTTAAGTCTGATATGAATAAAGTGAGACAATTACAAGATATTATTAAGTCAGTTGAAGCCAGGGATCGGAATGTAGCCGAAGAAAATCATAGTACGGTTAATTTCTTTTCATTTACCCAAATTATGGTGATGTTAATTGTTGGGATTGGTCAGGTTATTACCGTTAGGAGTTTGTTTGATGAAAAATCAAGGGTACATCGATTATGGAAGAAGGTTAATTCAAGATAGGTCATTTAGTTTTAATTCAAATTTGGCCACATTTTTAAATTTCATATTTATATATTTCAGATTTATTCTGCCAAAGTTTTATTGTATTTAAGATTTTTTTTTTTTGATAATTTCTCATTGTGTCATACTTTTTTCTATGTAATTTTGTAAAATGAAAAAAATAATATAAAAACTAGTCACATTTTGATAAACATCAATATTATTTAACTTTAAAATCTTTATTTAATTTAATAAACTTCCGTCGCTTTTAACATTCCTTAAATTCCCCGCAATTTCTTGTCCCAAATTAAAATTTAAGTTGAGTTCGTCAAATTTAACTTTCTCCAAACGTTTCGTTTCTTTCTGTTTTTTGACAACCACCTTTGCTTAATTTCTTTAAATATCTAATCTTTTTCAATTTTTGAGTTAATAACGACGATTTCTCAAGTAGACATTATACTAACATATCAACATATGCAGCAAAATAGCATACCATGTGTTCAATAATTTTTAACAACAATTATAGTCGATAAAATAAATATCTACTTACCTCCTGTAATTACAAAAACACCGAAACACGCACTAATATTTAGCGTTGTAAATACCAAACTGCTATGAACAATTAGTAATCTTTATTAAATTTCGCAAGTGAAAAGACTATTGAAACTTTTCTGATAATAAAAATTGACCTATTGTACGTTAGATGTCAGATAAATCACATAATTCAAATAATTCACTGTGTACCCAAGCAGGTACAGTGGTCAATAGATAGCGCTAGTTAGCATAAAATATCACTATGTTGCATATTTTTGTTGAACTAACACTAGACCTAGAAAGTTTCGGGTTTGTTTCGGGTCTGAAGACGCACGGCTAAAACCCGAACGTTTCTAGGTCTAATGTTAGTTCTAGTTTTACACTATCACTAGAACTAACACAAGACCTAGAACTAGAATCATTTAGGTTTAGCCGTCTTGAAAGACGTGCGGCTAAATCCGAATGTTTCTAGTTCTTGGTCTAGTGTTAGTTCTAGTTTTACACTAGCACTATTACAAGACCTAGAACTAGAATCATTCGGATTTAGCCATCTTGAAAGACGTGTGGCTAAATCTGAATGTTTCTAGTTCTCGGTCTAGTGTTAGTTCTAGTTTTACACTAGGTTTGAATACGACGTAAATGTTCAGCCATCACGTTATATAATTTTTTTGATGAACCTCTAATAGCTATACATTGTCGGGATAAATACTGAATTAAATATATTAAACGTTCTATAACAGATTGCCAATATTTTTTTTCGGTAATATCTAATCTTTGGTCTATTGCATCTATCGTAGTTTTGTTAGTTAAAGATTTTTTAAGTGCGTTGTATTTTGTACTGTTTTTAATGTGTATTGCAGTTCTTTCGTGTTTTTTTAGTATTTGTGATGATAAGTATTGCCAATCATTACAACCTAACTCACTATTAAGTTTTGAATTTAACGCATTATCAAACAATTTACAATAATAGCAAAAAACAGAATTGTTTGATATTGAGTACAGCAAATAATTTCTGTTAATTTTTTCTCCATTTGGAAGTGTTCTGATATAACACGTTTCAGAAAATTTACGACCCCAACCATCTTTTGGAAAATTATATTTAATTATTCGACAAGAAGAATTTTCTACTAATATATTAGAATATTCTACTAATTCTATATATATATATATATATATCTTGTTTTAATAGATAGAATTTTTGGCAAGAACCTGTGTCGTTTGCATCAAAACTTAAAGTAGACATTGATAGCATGGATACATTAGAACAGGAAGCTACATTTCTTTCATCTTCAACTGTCTTTGTTCCAACTTCTGTTTCTTGCGTATCTACTTTTCCTATTTGTTCGGATTGCTCTGATGTTAGAGGAGCATCGGTTTGAGTTGAAACTTTTTGTTTTTTCTTGTGAATGTGTTGATTCTGCCAAAAATTTATTTAACGAACCAGCCAACTCTTGATCAATTTGTAATTGTTTGGCTTTTTTTTTTCTACACTGAGCCCTTGATAAAGTTGTTGGCTTTTTCTTTTCTGACATCTACAAAGCCACAACATGTTAATTATTTTATGTTTAATATTCAAGGATAATTAATAGAAATACTTAATTACATAACTATAAATACTTACAATTTCAGAATTACTATTAAGATAATGGACACAAGAGCACTTTTGCGAATTTCTATTTTCTTTATATTCTTTCATTTGTTTAGTCTAGTATTGGAGTGTAGCGAGCCGCAAGCTTAGGGGTTTTTTATCGTATTATTTGTTTGTTTAGTTAAGTGTTGGAATGCGTTGGGGTGTATATTTAAGTCTTTAGGTAAGGTTTTTTTTAAGATTTTATTTTCTTTAAGTATAATATCTTAAATAGTCCTTTAATAAATTGTATTTGAATATACAGTTAATTCAGCTTGAAATTTTCTTATTTTTGCTCAAAATGCTCTGTGCGGTGATCACCCTGCACACCCATAGGCGGCGCGCCTGCACAAGACCTAGAACTAGATTCATTCGGGTTTAGCCGTCTTGAAAGACGTGCGGCTAAACCCAAATGATTCTAGTTCTAGATCTTGTATTAGTTCTAGTGATAGTGTAAAACTAGAACTAACACTAGACCTAGAACTAGAATCATTCGGGTTTAGCCGTCTTGAAAGACGTGCGGCTAAATCCGCATGATTCTAGTTCTAGGTATAGTGTTAATTCTACATAGTAACAGTGTTAGTATAAAACTAGAACTAATACTGGACCTAGTTTTAATCGTTATTCAGCGCTAGATTATTGAACTAAAAGTAGAACTAACGCTACACCTAGAACAGGAATCATTTGGGTTTAGCCAAACGTCTCTAAAGACGGCTAAACCCGAATGTATCTAGTTCTAATGTTTGTTCTAGTGACAGTGCTAGTGTAAAACTAGAACTAACAAGACGTGCGGCTAAACCCAAATGATTCTAGTTCTAGGTATAGTGTTAGTTCTACATAGTAAACAGCGATAGTGTAAAACTAGAACTAACACTAGACCTAGAAACATTTGGTTTTAATTTGATTTAAAATCAAATTCAATAATTTTTAATTAAAATCACTAAATTTAATTGAATTGAAGTTAGCGACGACTTTTCAGCGACGCCGACGGTCGCAAATCCGTAGCTAAGATTGAAACGGATTCAACATAGAAAATATGATCATGTTGTGTTAAATGAATGTTACGAAGGTCACTGCTTGCTGTTTATCCCAGAATTAATTTTGAAACTGCTAATAAAATAGGGTGAAAACGTCTCGGCTTTAAAAAGAAATAAAATCATCCCCTTAGCCGTGAGTTGCAGGGTTGAAATTTGGTGTGAATATAGCTTCGACATCCTTAAGTTGATTTTCGTTAAAACTAGAGTGCTACATCTGAAGGGTTGTCAACCCCTAATAAAAATAGGTGGAATTCGCTATGTTAGGTGAAAAAAAAATAATAAAAATCCACCCCTTAGCCGTAAGTTGCTGAGTTGTAACTTGGTGTGGATATAGCTTCGACATCCCTAAGTTGATTTTCATTACAATTAGAGTGCTACAAATGGAGTGGTGCCAACCTCTAATAAAAATAGTTGAAATTCGCTATGATAGGTGAAAAAAAAAAGAAATAAAATCCACCCCTTAGCCGTGAGTTGCTGAGTTGAAATTTGGTGTGGATACAAATTCGACATCCCTAAGTTGATTTTCGTTAAAATTAGAGTGCTACAAATGGAGTGGTGTCAACCCCTAATAAAAATAGGTGAAATTCGCTATGTTAGGTGAAAAAAAAAAATATAATCCACCCCTTAGCCATAGAATAACAGTAATAATAATAATATAATAATACAGTACAGTAATAATAATAATATAATAGCTGAAAAAAGAAATAAAACCTAACATAGCGAACATCCCTTCATGTATAGCACTCTAATTGTAACGAAAATCAACTTAGGGATGTCGAAGCTATATTCACATCAAATTTTAATCCGCCTAAGGGGATTGGTTTTTACCCTATTTTATTAGCAGTTTCAAAATTTATTCTGGAATTCTGGGTTAAAAAGCAAGTAGTAACCTTCGTAAAATTCATTTAATACAATATGATCATATTTTCTATCTTCAATCCGTTTCCCTGTGCGTTTTAATCTTAGCGACCGTGGTGGAATTGACAAAATCCGTCGTTAACTTCACTCCAATCTAAATTTATTATTATCATGTTTATACTGCATAATTAATTAGTAGTATAAATTTATCATAGATCGGTGGGATTTTAAATTTCCTTTAATTTGATACCAAACACGATATATTTATATTAACAAACAAAAAAGTTGTGATAAAAAAATTAATGGTAATAATCCTCCATCTTTAATAGTATCAAACCTTAAAATTCGAATATCTCAACCAAACGAGATAAAATAGTCGAGTTTGGACTCATTTTGAAAGAAATTCAATTCTAAATTAATAAAACTAAACTTTATCCCAACCCAACTTTTTATTATTTTTTTATTATCTTTTTCTCAATAACCCAAAAAAGAAATTATTCGTTTGAATCGTTATAAATTAAAACGAAATTGATTTTAATTTAAACTCGAATTCAAAAATTTTTAATTAAATTAAAAAGTGATAAAAAATTAAATGGTAATAATCCGCCATCTTTGATAATAATCAAACCTTAAAATTCGAATATCTCGAGAACCAAACGAGATAAAATAGTCGAGTTTGGACTCATTTTGAAGGAAATTCAATTCTATATCAGTCTAAAAACGATATTATTTTTTAAGTTTAAATCTTTATTTAATTTAATTCAAACTTATTTAACAACTGTAGTTTCCCAATTTTTAAAACTATTCTTAACAAAAGTCTTTTTCTTTCCTCTTTTGTGAATATGCCTCTTCGTAACATCAAGAATATTCCTTTTTTGCATACTTTGGAACCGATCCTTCAACAAACTTCCTTCACTTTTAATATTCCTTAAATTCCCCGCAATTTCTTGTCCCAAATTAAAATCCAAGTCGGGTTCGTCAAATTTAACTTTCCCCAAACGTTTCGTCTCTTTCTGTTTTAAATTTTTGGTAACCAACCGCTTTCGTTGCTTAATTTCTTTAAATTTCTCATCTTTTTCAATTTTTGAGTTAATAAATTTTAATTTATAAATATCGGCAATCTTTTTTTTTTCAATTTTAGCTTTTTTAATGTTCTCTTTTAACTCGGCTTGTTCTTTAATTTTACGGCGTTGTTTTAAAGTTTTCTTTTTGTTAACAACTGGTGGATTAACCGATTCATAAGGTGATTTATGTTGTTTTGTTGATGATTTATTTTCGGATTTATTTGGGTTTGGTAAACCTTGAGACATTTCTTTCATCCAATTTTTTTCATTTTGCGTGGCGCTTACTTTTTTGAAGATATCCTTTGTAACGCGATCTAAATGTTGTTGTTCTTTAATAAATTTTAATTCTTTATCAGCGACTTCTTTTAATAGATCTTGATGATCTTCATAACTTGGATTATAAGACATACCAGGATGAGGTGCTTCTACTTTTGGTAAGACCCCATTCAAAGTATTTTTCATTCGAGGAATAACTTTAGTTAATTTACCAACCCCCCTTAAAGTATGCCGTTTAGTTAATTTATCAATCCATTCATCATCTTTCCCATCATTTTCATCCCAAATATCTCTCACCTCCTTCTCATTCTCTTCCTCAATTTTCTTTTTGTCTTGACTTCGTTGTCTATCAGAAATCCTTTGCAACTCTTTCTTCTTTAAAATCCCTTTTAATTTCATCTCTTGTTCTTTTTTCTTCAAAATCGGACATTTCCTTTCCTCTTTAGTCCTTACCCGGTTTCTTTTTGAAATCGGATCAGGCACTTTTGTGTGCGGTTGAAGCATGGGATAACATTTCGGGGGTGCTGCGGCTTTAATTTTACGCTTTTCACGTTTTGTAAGGTTCTCAACTTGCGGTGCAACATCAATACTGAAGAATTCTTCATCTTTTAATGTTGAAAAAGGTTGACCTAACCTTTCTTCCAATCGTTGGTCTTCAAGGAATTCTTCTACATCTTTTATATCAGTTTTACGCCACGATGATTTCTTTTTCTTTGATATACGTTTCTTTTTAATTCCAGGCGATTGAAGAGTCATTTTCACTTAAATAAATATTAAAAAACTCGTTATTTTTATCCACGCGTTATTTTTTAGGTTAGGAGAACTGTCAACGTCAACTAGTTGAATGTGGAACTGTCATTTTTTAAACATTAATTTGATTATTAATGATTTCTATCGTAATTATTATTAATTATAACAAATTAAATCTATTAAAAAAGGAAAAATTAATTTATGTATAATAATAATAATTACGACTTTAATTAACATATTTATTTCCTAATATGTGTAAAAATCAATAGGTGGCGCTTAAAATTTCGACTTAATAGTTGTCGATAAAACAGAAATTTAACCTCAAACTTTATTATTTGTCACTTTTGTATTTACGTTACTATTTTTACAAAAATGTTAGCTTTACAACAATATTCCAGCAGTGATGAAGAATCCGAATTAAAAGCCCCGATTGAAGAAACCAAAATAAACGAGGAATTTTCCATAAAAAAGCATTTATCGGTTTGTGCAACCCCAATTGTGTTACCAACAGTAAGTACATAACCTCAAAATATTTTTTAACTATATTTTGATGTTATTTATGTTATTAATAATACAGGGTTCAGAAGAATGTTTACAACACATCGACCCTTCAGCGAAAGAAATCGTTTATAACCCCAAATATGAAGAATTATTCGCTCCTATGGTAGGCCCAGAAAATCCCTTTCGTACCCATCAAATGCAATCTGATCGAAACATGCTTTCGGGTTATGTTGAACCAGCACACATAAGTGAATTCCAATTTGAAAATCAACGAAGGACATTTAACAGTTTTGGTTATGCTTTGGATCCCTCGATTAGTGGGGAAACTATTGATGGAAGTAAAATAGTTGGTTCGAAAGAACTGGCTGATGAATCACAAGGAAAAACAGTTTTTGAACATACAAAATTACGTCCTTTGGATAAACGTAAAAGAAAAAGGAATAATGATGCTAGTGATATTGAAGGTTTTTTGGGACCTTGGGGTGGATTTATTGATGAACAAAGGGTTATGAAACCAACTGAAGAGGAAGCTGCAGAACTTGAGGAGTTAGCCTCGAAAAAGAATAAAAGAGGAAAACCTGTTGATGAGAAACCAATTGAGGAAAAAACTATTTTACATAGTAAAATTATATATTTATTTATTTTTTGAAATTTGAGAATAATCAAAAATTTTTTTAGTTAAAGATCCTGTTGATTATCAAGGAAGATCGTTTTTACATGCACCACAAGATGTTGGGGTTAACCTTAAGAGTGATACTCCTCCAGAAAAGTGCTTTTTACCAAAAGCACATATTCATACTTGGACGGGGCATTCAAAAGGTGTTGCGGCTATTCGATGGTTTCCAAGAACTGCACATTTATTGTTATCGGCTAGTATGGATTGTAGAATTAAGGTGATTAATTTAATTTCATCTAAATTAGCACAATTGTATAATACCTATGTATAAATTAATTATCATACTCGACGTCATCATTTGGTTGTAGGTATGCAACCAAATACGCAAATCGTTTATTGTGATATTGGTTGCATACTTGCAAAGATGACGTCGGATATGATAATTAATTAACACACTGTACATACCAATTAGGTACTTATTTTTGACACAAAATTAAGCAAGATAATGTTTTGCTTTTCCCAGTGATCCAGTCTGCTTTATCCATAATATAGATAAATGTAGAATTATAATAGAAATCCATTCTACCATTTGTCAATTTTGATATAAGTAAATAATTTAGAGTTTGATTTTGTACTTTTAAACTGGTTTTAATTGTATATAGAATTTAAGTCTAACTAGTTTCGGTCTTTGGCCATCTTCAGAAACTATTTGTGCTTCTTTTGTTAAAAAGATCACATATCAAAGTTGCAAATCAGACTATTAGTTACTAAATTTACAAAACTAAGGACGAAGTGTTACAAGTTTACAGATTAAAATTTAAGTATGTTCTTAAATCATTACAGGTTAAAATTTAAGCAACAGAAACAGTCGCTGAAGATGGCCAAGGGCCGAAACTAGTTAGAGTTAAATTCTATATAAAATTAAAACCAGTTTAAAAGTACAAAATCAAACTCTAAATTATTTATCTACTTCAAAATAGATAAATATTGTCATATTTTTACCGTTTTAAGATCAAAACACAAAAATCAGAACACACATTTAGGTTATTACTGTTTTTGTTATAATTCCGCACTAAAGCTCGCGTTTGAATCGACTCGCTAAATTGAACGGCTTCATCTTCTGAAGGCGACGCAGGACATCCTTGTCGTCAAGAAGCTGAATGGCCTCGATGTTAGGATGATTCATACATTTTCTTCTCATGTTTAGATGCAATTTCTGATGACACCAATGCTACATCCAAGTCGCGATGGAGCTTAGTGTTTCTTATTCTTGCACCTTAGTACTTTGTTTTGGAATCTTTGAATCAGACTTGCATTTGTTTTGCAGGTACAACCTCACAGTTGGATATTGTATATTAGCAACTTGTTTCTTAGTCAGTGACGGCGCTAGCAAATGAAGCGCCAGGGTGCGGGAACCGGAGTGGCGCCCCCCACCAAGCATTTTGGGCGGAATGCGGGGGAAAATTCATTTTAATTTAAAAAAATTAAAAAATACATTTTAATTAAAAAAATATATATAATCAAAGAAATATAAATAAACTTAAAAAAGACTGGAATAATCATAATCCATACTTCAGCAAAAATTTAAGAATTATACTGGTGAAAAACCAAACTTAACCTTAGGATACTTACCAATAAAATAACTATAGTAACTAAATGCTCGTCGGGCCTAAGAGGCCCGGTTTATGCATCCTAGGGTTAAGGGAATGGTCGGGAATACTCTGGTCAGAAGGTTAATTTGCAAGAAAAAGTCTGAAATTGCAATAGTTATAAACTAGACTTCAGCAAAAACTAGTAATTACATTGTTCAAAGTCCACATGAAGTCTGAAATTACTGTTCAGAGAAAACAAAAAATTAATTATAAATCAAACATGATTTTTCATGGCAATACTTATGTGTTCAATAAAAGAATGCGAAGAATATGAACAAGAAACCAATGGAGTTGTCTTGTTATTGTACAAGACAGGAAATCACCAATACGAAAACTTTGCCAATGCAGGATAAGCACAAAAGCAAAGTAACACCTGCAGAAATGAGGTACCGGGTATAGATAATAAGAGGCTCTCAAAAAGATAATGATAAACACCCAGAAAGAAGTTCCTGTCAGTATTAAGAACAAAACATACATAACGTTGGCAGAAGACTAGATACTGCTTCCAAAAAACTAAATACTGCTTTCTGAAGACTAGATACTGCTCTGGAAAATTAAATACTGCTTTCTGAAGACTAGATACTGCTCTGAAAAATTAAATATTGCTTTCTGAAGACTAGATACTGCCGACAGGTCGAAATGCAGCGTCTGGAACACTAAATACTGCTTTCTAAAGACTAAAATTTGCTTTGTGGAGACTAAATACTGCTTTTTGAAAACTAGATACTGCTGACAGGTCTAAGTACTGCAAAAGAAAGATAAGATATTGTTGGAGAAAACATACATAACGTTGGCAGAAGATTAGATACTGCTTCTAGAAGACTAAATACTGCTTTCTGAAGACTAGATACTGCCGACAGGTCTAAATACAGCGTCTGGAACGCTAAATACTGCTTTCTAAAGACTAAAATTGCTTTGTGGAGACTAAATACTGCTTTCTGAAGACTAGCTACTGCTGACAGGTCTAAATACTATACAAAAGAAGATAAGATATTGTTGGAGAAAACATTAAAAAGGCGTCGCCACCCCTTGCACCCCCGGTAGCGCCGCCTCTATTCTTAGTGATAACGTTGATTTTCTGCCAATAAGCCAATATAGGTGTCTAAATTTGATATCAAGTTCCCCACGTTTTTTTTTTAGACGTGAGCTTCGTTCACTTCGTTTGGCATCCATCGTCATACCAAGATATTTTGCGGATTGCATTGCCATTTATGTGTACTGGGACATAGTTTACTCTCTTATAAGTAAAGTTTATTTACAGTGGTGGTCATATAATTAGGGAAAGCATTTTTTATTTTAAGATGTTGAGTTTTTTTATTAAATTGCTTTTTTCGATTATACTTTATTCTTATAATTCATGTAATTCTTGAAACAAAAACCGAAAATAATACATAATTGGCAACTTAAAAAATAAAATAAATACATATTGGCTATTTTAATTTGGAGAACTATTTAAGTTCACCTTAACTTTTTTATAAATTAACAATTAATTAATTAACAACGTTTTAAATGTAAACTTTCATTTAAATCTAATATTTAGTAGGATAACCATTTAATTTAAGTACGTTTTTGCACCTTCGAGAAAGACTAGCTACTAAATGCTGACATCGTTCGATTGAAATATTCTTCCTTTACATTTTTAACAATTCATCAGCATGTTTGTTTATTTTCTTTTCCAGAGCTCTTTCAGCATCTGCCCAGAGGTTTTTAATTGGGTTTAAGTCGGGACTCTGGGCAGGCCAATCCAAAACATTAACGTTTTCGACAGAAAACCATGCTTTAACGCTTCTAGCAGTATGTTTTGGATGGTTATCATGCATAAAAATGAATGGGACAGGCATATATTCGACCGCAAATTTCTTCATTGTATTCGCCATGATGTTTTTGTATAAATGTTGGTCCATTCGTTGAGTTACCCGACAAATAAGACATACACCAAACTACGAAAATGCAGCCCAAACCATAATATTTTCTCCACCATGCTTTACGGTCTTTAAAGTATAGCGAGGGTCTAATTCCTTGTTTGGGGGCGTCGTACATTTTTTTACCATCTCATTCAAACAAGTTGAACTTTGATTCATTGCCTCATAGTATGTTTTTCCAAAATTCTAAGGGTTTCTGAATTCGACGCTTTAAATTCTTATTCAATACATGTGGCTTTTTCCTTGCAATGCATCCACGGAGTCCACTTTCCAATAGTCGACGTCTTATGGTTCGCGTTGATATTTCAATACTTAATTATGCCGTTATTTCGCCGTGAATTTGCTTAGAACTGAATTTTGCTTGTTTTTGCGTTCGTATTAAGCCGCGATTACTCGGCCTGTGGAGCGGCACACCCCGCGTGTGGAGTAAGGCGCCATGAAAGTGACTTGGCGTGATGATACGAGCCAGGAAAATGTATATATAAAATGTAAACTTTTTAAGAATGTTTAAAAAATTTGAAGTGTCCTTAATTAGCCGTCCAAGCTAAAATAATCAGCATTTATTTATGTTATTTTTAAGTTATTACGAGCACATTATTTTCGTTTCTTTTTTAATTAATACATGAGTTATAGGATAATAGACATAATTCTTTTCTTTTAAGAAAATAGATCTAACATTTTAGTAAAAAGAACGCAAAGTTTTAAACTGAAAAATGCTGTCCTTAATTATATGACCACCACTGTATGTCGATTTATTTATATTTATTATCCATCGTTTGGTTCAATTTTCTATTGAATTTAAGGCCAATTGTAAGTTATTTTCTGCAACAGCCAAGATCGCTGTGTTATCTGCGAATGGAGCTGTTAAAGTTTCTGGGATCTGAGGGAGGTCGAATGTGTAGAGTAAATACAGTGTTGGGCCAAGCACACTTCCTAGAGGAACTCAGGCTTGTATTTCATGTAGTGGTGAATAAGCGTTTTCGTATTTTACTCTAAAATAGACTAACCAGACTTTGTCGAAAGCTTGTGCAACATCCAAAAATAAGACAGACAAAACTTTATTTTCTTCCATTGCTAATTCAATAGTATTCGTTATTCTATGCACGTGATCTTTTCTAGGGCATTTGTTTTAGCTTCCTGTACTCTTCGATTTTGACACGCATTCGTAATATGTTTGTTATTTCATGGATCCTTTTTACATCTTCTGACGATGCAAAATCCAAGATGTATAAAGGAAGAGGCTCTTTTATTTTGTATGTTAACATCATAGTCATCATCGTTGTTCATCTTTGATATCATTAACAACACAGCTTTTATGCATCATTTTAGCTACCACCTCCAGATTTCTGGGCTGCTTATTTTCATAAGTGGACCAGGACAAATTCTTTTCAGTAAGCATCTTTGATGCTTCTCTGTACTTCTGTTTCGAATTAAGATTCAGTTTTATTCACACATCTAACAAATTACAGTGTATTAATTTAATTTTTTTATAGATTTGGGAGGTTTATAACGAAAGACGATGTGTTAGAACTTATTATGGACACAGACAAGCTGTTAGAGACATTAATTTTAACAATTCCGGGAAACAATTTCTTTCAGCAGGTAAAAACAACAATTAAAAAAAAATTATTGAGCATACTTTAATATAAACTTTTTAATAGGTTATGATCGTTACATAAAACTTTGGGATACAGAAACCGGCCAAGTTGTTTCAAGATTTACAAGCAGAAAAATTCCTTATTGCGTTAAATTCAATCCGGATCGAAATAAGCAGCATTTATTTGTTGCTGGGACGTCTGATAAAAAAATTATTTGCGTAAGATGACTAAAATAATAAAATAAAATGATTTTAATGAATCAATTTTTTTAGTGGGACATCCGTTCGGGTGATATCGTCCAAGAATACGACCGACATTTAGGCGCAGTGAACACTATAACATTCGTTGATGATAACCGACGTTTTGTAACAACATCCGACGATAAAAGTCTGCGTGTTTGGGAGTGGGATATCCCTGTGGACATGAAATACATCGCCGATCCAACGATGCATTCAATGCCGGCGGTCGCCCCCGCTCCAAATGGAAAATGGTTAGCTTGTCAAAGCATGGATAATAAAATCGTAATTTTTTCTGCTTTGAATCGATTCAAAATGAATCGAAAGAAAACGTTTACCGGGCATATGGTCGCTGGTTATGCGTGTTCTTTAGATTTTTCCCCCGATATGAGTTACTTAATTTCGGGCGATGCCGACGGAAAATGTTACATTTGGGATTGGAAAACGACTAAGTTGTATAAGAAATGGAAAGCGCACGATGACGTCTGTATAAGCGTTTTATGGCACCCCCATGAGTCGAGTAAAATGGTTTCAGCTGGTTGGGATGGTGTTATCAAGTATTGGGATTAAATTAGATAAGAATTTTTTTTAATGGTGTATATAAATTATAATTAATTAGTTTATATAACTATACTAATAAAGTAATGTTAATATCATTATTTATTTTAATAGATCCTAAATGAAACATTAAGAAGCATATTTAAATCAAAATGAATGAAATTTAATGCTAATTAATGGAATGTCAAAATTGATGGAACATTATTGTTCAGGAGGAAATAGAATGGTTCAGATAAATTTTAGGAACGTAATTACAAAAACGTCTTGTTTGAATTAAACTTGGAAAAAAGAACTATCATTTCATATGATTAAGTCCAGGTCCCTTGGGGGCGAGGCGCTGGTTTCAAATATCAGCCGAAATATGATCAATAATCTACAGCTGCAGATTAATTTCGGGTGAGTTATTATATATATGTATATATATAATAATATGAATATTATTTACAGTTGCTTTTTATTACATTTATATAGGGTATATGTGGTTGTCTATCTGATGAAGTCTTGGAGTTCGAAATATAGGTTATGTCTAACATGGTCTGACACGTGATGTAAATATATGTTTGAACTTGTGGGCTTTTGAAGTATAGATAGCGCTTTAAAGTTCTCGTTGGGATTGTTTGGATATTGTGGTTTAAAAGGGGGTCAATTGGTTTGTTTCAGTATCGCTTCTCGGCCTATGGCTAAGATCAAAGTGTAGTATCTGTTCTTATCAGCTTAATATCTGATACGCCCCGCATGCGGGGCCAGTATATTAAACTGATTTTTGGAAATTGACGGAAGGTAGGGGCTTGCTCCACTTCTGTCACGGGTTGGCCTTGTATTGCAGTACCGCAAGGATCGGCCCACATTATTTTAATTGAATCACAGTCTATTATTTAACAAGCTCTAGCGACTAAATTACAGTTCTTATTTATTTGCTTATGTTCATCGAGAACTTTACGTTAAGGCCCGTTTACACGCCCAAACCAGTTTGTGCAAACGAACTGAATAAAATATTTACGTTCACACGCTCAGTTTAGTTTGCACAATAAAATTGTGAAGTGAGGAACCCCAAAAATTTTTATTAATCAGTTTGTAGTGTTCAAAATGGAACATCTAGAACCTAGACGAAGAAAGAACTAATACTTCTTTCAACGGCTGTGGTGTCCATTGTGAAGAGAAAGAAGGACTTGAAGACAAAAAGGAAAAAATGGTGTAAACCATGGTTGTTGCTAGTGATGGAACGGATAGTGATTTTGCGAAATGCCGAATATCGGGTTATCCGGCATATCTATGAGGCCATTATGGTTATTACTTCTGGTGCATTTCTGAAGTGACATTGCCACTTTATTGCGATATTTGAATAAAAATGAAATTAATAAGAAAGCTGATAAGATATGTTAAATATCTAACTTATTTGGATCCAAGATACAAAATGAACTTTTTTGATGCTGATTTAACTAACGAAAACTTCAAATATTATTTTCTCAAAAACTAAAAGTTATTTTTCAAAACGGGTTGGTTCATTGGAAAGAGGACACTTTTATTAATACTTTGGGAAATTTTTATAATTATATTCCAAGAAATGGGGTTTATAGGAATTTTTTAAACTTAATCGGCGGAAATTGCAAAATTCGAAAAAATTGTCGATCATTTCAAAAATGTATTTCTCAAAAACTAAAAGCGATTTTTCAAAACGGCTTTTTGCATTAAAGAGAGAATACTTTAATTAATAATTGGTGATATTTCCACAAGGATCCTTCAAGAAATTAATTTTATAGCGAATTTTGAAAATTATCGATGAAAATTGCAACATCGAAAATTTTATCAAAACTTCAAATATTGCCAACATTACTT